TGAGACAGCCCTTGAGTTACAGTTACAATGTTGGTGCTATAACTTCTTCTGATTGTTTACAGATAGTGATTCTGCTTAGGCTCCAAACTGTGCATGATATATTTTAAGTAGTACTTTCTTTAAGAAGAAAACCTTGTTATAAAACCGACTACCACTTAAATTTATTTGAATTTGTATCATTTACTGTAAATTCATTTTACTCTAATTTGGTTCATACAGTATTTAATCCAACACCCATCCCACCAAAGCCAGTTCAGTGTATGTATTGAAATACTGGCAGCCTTTATGGCTTGGTGCCAGATCACATGTGTAATGACAAATGAATACAGCCTTCTAATACTATGTGGGTACTCTTAAGAATGATTTCATTTGAACATAAAGATGTTGGGGGAAGGGGGAGATGGCTCAGTGGAATAAGCGCTTTCCCGGTAAGCGCAAGGGCCTGAGTTTAATCCCCGGTTCCGCCAAACAAACTAACAAGATGTTAAGGGGCCTCTTGTCATGTACACATTAATTTCTCCAAAGTAATTTTGCATTTCAAAAACAAACGATAGTGATATGGTTGGATTCTTCAGGATTGTGAATAGATTTTGTGGTTTTACCATTGTTGCCAAGTGGTGGGAGGTAGTGTACCTGAAAATGTATGTTTGTGTTTGTTGTATTTTTTCACATTTTGTGAACAAAGCACATTTATTAAAAATTTTAAATTTTCTAGTATTCTTTGTCTGTTACTTAAATGGAGAGTTTTGTGTTCTTTGATATACCAGTGTCACTAAATGATTTCAGAATTGAAGAGCAGTTGAGAATTTGAATGACTTGTAAAATTTCCCAACTGAGTCTCATCTAGTCAAATTTTCTAATGCATTTATTCACCGAGCTCCAGAAAACACAAGTGACTTACCCAGTTATCATGCATTGTGACGGTGTTCATGGCAAACCAGAAAGCAGCATAAATTCTAGTTCATTGTATGATTATATGTAATTAACTTGAAGGAAATTAAAGTATAACAGGTAATATAGTTAAATGTGTCTGTTCTTTTAGGGTAGCAGACAGTAATATTCTTGTAATACAAGTTTTAATTCATTGAACAAATGTTTTCTTAGGGCATTTTTGCAGGACATAATGTTTTCATTTCTGTGTGGAGTTGGTGCACGTAAGTAACACATCTTCAGTCCTTTTTATTTTTTCCCTATAATTTTATTGAGAAATAGCAGTGAGACAGTTTCAAACCAAATTGGTAGGACAGTTTCAATAATTAACACATTGCATACTCTCTTCCTAGTGGTTAATTGCTGTACAAGATGCAGACATGATATCCTATTTACAAACTCAATTAGAACAAATCCTTCTATTCATTAAGAGAATGTAACCCTATATCTATCCTAACCATTTTGAATACACAGATACAAAATGGACATTCATCTGTATCCCCTTTTTTTTTTTAAGTTCTGTTATTTGAGTATCATAAGTGTGTTAACTGAGCAAAATATTCTAAAACAGTCCAGTAGCCCATAATAGTATTGGGTCTTCTGCTTGACTGGCAATGTCAGAAATTGTTGACCTGAGTCCCCCACAGCTCAGCATAACAGCATGGCTTTACTTCTTATACTTTATTCCTTTTTTGTTTCCTTTTTATACCCTTTTCTTTACCTTCTTTTCCCTGCTGCTGCCTCTTGTTCCCCTTCCCATTTGAGAAAGATCACCTTACCCTCTGTTATCTTTTACGATGTTCTTGTTAATTTGTCATATACAAGAAACCATGTGACATGTAGTGTTGTATGTCTGATTTATTTCACTTTATAGTCTTATGTTTGAATTCTGTCATGTGTAGTATACAGGAAAAGCAGAGATTAGAGTGATCACAGTCCCTTTCTCTCTCTCTCTCTCTCTCTCTCTCTCTATATATATATATATATATATATATATATATATATATAAATTTTATATATATATAAAATTTATTTATGTCCGTCTTTAGTGCAGGGTCTGCAGGGTCCTAGTACATAGATTGGACTCGTAGTGATTCTCCTGTTTTCAGCCTCCCAGCACTGCGATCATAGGCGCTTGCCACCATGCCTAGTCTCAGTTTCCATCTCAGCGTGCTGCGGGGGTGGGGCTGGCACGGCACAGCGGGGGTTGAACCCCACTGCTGAGCCCTGGCTGCTGCGCTCTGCCTGAGCAAGTGCTTTAGTCCGCTGAGCTGTCTGGCGGGCCCTGTTCCCTTGTTTGCATGGCAGCTAATGATCTAATGGAGAAGACAAGCACTTCTCATGCACTTTTTATCTAGGAGTGATTACTTGCCAATCCTACAGCTTTGCTCATGCTCAAAAATCTCTTGATTTGTTTCTCAGAAATTAAGCAGGAAGTAAAAAGCTTTAAACACATGTGCACCAGCAAATTACACATTATGAATAAAACAGATGAATTGTTTACCCCTCTAAAAAGCAGGTGAAGCGTAAACTGATTTTTACAAAAGCTCAACTCTGTGTGAGACAGGGTCTTACACGTGTTGCAGGCTGGCCTCTAACGCGCTCATCCTCCTGCCTCTCCCACTCGAGTCCTGTACTGCAGGCCTGCACCGCACTCACCCTTGTGATGAAATTTTTGCTCCATTTGCTGCACGCTTCCAAACACATTGCAGTAGTGTTTCTCTGCACGTGATTAGAGTGTAGAAGAGATCTGAGGTAGAGACTTGAGAATGTAGTTAATGGTAGAGAACATGCTCCGTATGTGCAAGCCCCCGAGCTGAAGCCCCAACACAAGACCACCACCAAAAAGAAAATTTGAGGGGCCAGCGAGATAGCTTAGTGGACCCAAGTGCCTGCTTGCCTAAGCTCAGGCAGGCACAGGGACCGCGGTTGGATCCCTGGCACCACATGCTGCACCAGCCCTGCCCCATGGTGGGCTAAGCCGGCCACAGAGTACGGGCGTAATGGTACATGTCTGTAATCCCAACACTGGGGAGGTTGAAAGCAGCAGGATCACCACGAGTCCGAGCTGCGCAGTGAGACCTTGCAACAACCAAATACATTTAAAAGAAAATTTGATTACAAATTGCTACATGATAAATGTTGAGAATAAATTCTATTACAGTAAGGAGTGTTTCCATTATAATTGTATTTTTTAAAAAATTTGTGTGTGTGTGTGTGGCCAGCTCAGCCCACCGGGGGGGTGGGGGCTGGCTGGCATGTGGTGCTGGGGGATTGAACCGCGGTCCCTGAGCCATCTCACCAGCTCCCAATTGTATTGTTTTTATAACAGTAGCAGTGACTTCCATAATGATGAAAAAATTCAAAAAGGTGACCCACACACAGTACATAGAAATCTTCCCCAAGAGTGTTAGTGTAGGAGGAAGCAGGTTCAATTTTTTAAATAATTGGAACAAGTAAAGAAAAATTAGAGATGTCAAATGGAAACTAAAATGTAGGTCAGCCAAGCTGATGAAGAAAGGATGGCCATTCCTTCACGCCATTTCCGCCTCTTTTCCTGGTCTTGAGTCTGCAGGTGGTTTTCGTTCTGTTTCTACCTAGATGATTCCCAAGCCCTACGTTTCCTCAGTCATCTGTGGGGATGTAGAAGAACTCAGATCTGGGGGCAGTAGTGCTAGACCTTACTGTTCAGCAAACTTTGAATGGAGGATCTAAATCTGTATGTTAGTATCTTTCTTACAGCCCGGGAACCAGTACTGGTTACAGTATGAAAGGAAAAGTAGTGAATAATGAAAACAAACTCATAAATGTCCCGCCATTCAATAGAAATTAACTCAAGTATATGTGAAAGTAATTTCTGGGTAAGCACAGAGAAGGGGAGAAGACTGGGTCAGAGGTGGACATGCTTGC